CCGTCGGCTCAGTGCAGCGGCCCCCGGGGCAGCTTCGGTCGCCATCTGAGGGCCGAGTCACGGGCGTCTCACGCGCTTCCCAGGAGTTTTTTTTTGGGGGGGACGTTGTCTCCCGGGGGCCTCGTGGTTGGTTTTCTGGCCGGCCCCCTCTCCCATGCAGGTTTTGTGTCTGTCTGTCTGTCTCCCGGATACTTGTCTCCGGACCGGGCAGGGGAATTCGCCCCCGGTTAATTCGGGCTTCCTGTTTGTCCCCTTCAGAAATGCCTGGTGAAGCCACAGAGACCGTCCCTGCCACAGAGCAGGAGTTGCCACAGCCTCAGGCTGAGACAGGTAAGGTGCCCCTTAGCTCTCTTGGCTGTTAATTTAAAATGGATCCTCAAAGCCGTTTGGTGGGTGGGCAGGATGATAGACTCGTTTCTGCCTTTTTGAGTTCACGGTCATTTAATAAAAGTTTTTTAAAATGGGGTCGTAGCTTTAGTACAAGTTTTAACTGCTGTCTTGCCGGCGCTGGGGCACCGCCTCAGAGGAAGAGAATAAAAAATGGTGTCTTTAAGATTTATGGACAGGTTCCCTAGCTTGCTGTGTGAGTTACACCAGCTGCTGGAAAAGCTCTTCTGTGGAATCTACACATCTTACAGGAAACCTGAGCAGGGCAGGGGCTGGGTGGCAGAGGCAGGCCAAGGAGACCTGAGCTTTGGTGAAGTTCTGGCCAGCAAGTGGCGTCCAGGTTTTAGTTAGCCGTGATTGGCACTGAGCCTCTCGTCACATGTCTGGATGAGATATGTGCTCCTTTTAAGCGTGTTCTAACGAGAGCCTCAGCCTAGGTTAGTTAAGTTGTAGGGATTGATAATGCTCAGATACTTGTAGTGTACTGGAATAGTTCCAATATATGGAACCCAGGGCTGAAATAGATGTGGCTTTCAACTGGAGTAGAATGTGGTGTGAAGATAGGCCTGAATGCTGGTTAGAACGTCTTCATGGGAAACTTGAACATGAAATGGTCATGCCGAGTCAGTTCTGCAGAACTAAATGAGGGGTGCCCTCTATCTACTTGGTCTTTAATTGTTACTCAATGGGCCGTTTCTGTTTTCTTTTGGATTTAAAGTTATTTATACTCAAGCATTGAAGTCCTTCCTCCCCACCTGTCTGATCTTAGCAGCTGAAGGGATTAGTCTGGCTGCTAGACCAGAAAGGAGGTGGGTGCCCTGACCTGGGAAACGGGCAGCCGGGAAAGGAGTGGTCTCTGGGGATCCGCAGCTGCCGAGCCAAACGAGTGAAATTCAGTTTACAAGTGTGGAGGCTGAAATTTACATGGATTTAGAATACTCTGGTTCCAGCTTTTAAAATTACTAATTTTAAAGCAGTCCTTAGTGTTGTTAAAGATAACAATTAGTCTGAGCTTGCACATGTTAGGTATTGAAGGCATACACGATGTCTGTAACTGTAATTAGTCTTACTGGAATGAATGAGGACAAATCAGGGCATTGGTTATAGTATAAAAGCAAGTCATGTGGATCTTGTCCTGCCTTTAGGTCCAGTAAAGCATATTCCATGTTTTAAATTCTAGTTAACATGTTTAGAAGTGTTTGCACTATAATTAGAAGGCTTTGGCCTACCAATTCTCCCGGAAAGACTGGTCCAGCCACCTACCTCCTTGTCCTATAAGAACTTGGGAATAAACTGGTTGAGTGGCTTGTGAGATTGGGTGTTGTGGATTTTTTATTAATATTTTCTAGCCTTTCTAGGTATTTATCGTTTGTTGGTTCTTTGATTTAATCCAGTGTTAGCTCAAATGGCAGAACCACCCCCACCCCCTTTTAGAAATCTTTTCAGTGCCAAATGGTGGTCTGTTTAAGTAGCATGTATGCTTTTCTCTAGATCAAGGGGTGGGAACCTGTATTTTTTTGTTTTTTATTTTTCATTATAATTCTCTTCTAAAGTGTGTCTTAACAGTTTGGCTAGTTTCATGATATAATTCCTACTTTCCCCTTCCTTGGGTCATAATTAATTTGTTACAATGTTTAAAGAGCTAATATTGCTGAAAAGGAGATAAGAGTATGGTATATAGACCACTCTGGTTGAGACTTGGTGTTTAATACTGAGTATTAAATGATGAAGAGTTTCAGCTCTAGGAGAACTGAGTTAGGCCAGGTATATACTTTCTAAAACTTACTCCAGCATAATCAGATCCCACCCTAAACCCTTTCGATTCCTCATGTTAGCACTGCTCAGAAAGCATTGGCCAACACCTGTAATCCTGGCAGAGATAGAGACAGCTAGACCCTTCTGGGTTCCAAGCCACCTGGGGCTACATAGTGAGGCCCTGTCTAAAAACAGAGCATTGGGAATAGTGTCAGTTTTGTGAAGGAAGGGGGAAGAAGGCATGTTCTCAGTCCACTCTAGGTTGGTCTTCTAGTCCCGGCTATTTAGGAAGCTGAAGCAGGAGGATTGTAAATTCAAGGCCAGCCTAAGGGTGGGACTATCTCAAAAAAGGGCTAAGGCTATATAGTAATCTTGCCTGTCATGTGTGAAGCCCTAGGCTTAATCCCCAGTAACAGAGGGAGGGTGTGGGCCTGTGCTCCCCATTTAGAGATGAGCTAGTCTCAGACCATTTGCCCCACCTTAAAATAGTTGGTTTATTTTTGTAGAACTTGGGAAATGAGAAGGATGTAGTCCACTTAATCACTGAAATATGTACAGGGAAAGTTGATATTGCTTGTCACCTTTTTCTAATCCTGTTTGGTGACCTTCATTCTCAGAGTTAAAACTCCTTTGTTTCCTGTGAGGCATGTTACCAACTTGGGCTGCACAACTCACCTTTTTCCCCTCCCTTTATCTCCGTTTATTATTTTGTTTTTTATTTTATTTTATTTTTGCTTTTCTCCAGCTGTGCTTCCTATGTCTTCAGCCTTGAATGTTACTGCTGCTTTAGGGCAACCTGGACCTCCCCCCCCTCCTTGCTCCCTGGCCCCCCAACAAAGCCCTCTAGTAACTGCTAATCAGCCTGCCCCCCTCCCTTCCCCCAGTACTTCCTCAGCCCCCTTTGAAGCCCCTTTTCCCCTGCCGTCTTCGGAGACAGCTGCCCCTCTGGGGACTGCCCCCCCTACTCCAACTTTCCTGCCTCACCTGATAGGGCCTCCCATCTCCCCGGCTGCCTTAGCTTTGGCCTCTCCCATGATAGGTCCAGCTCAGAAAGGTGCCCGGGCCTCCTCAGTCCCCTTGTCCCTGGTTGCCGTGGCTCCCCGCTCAGTTCAGAAGAGTCCTGTATCTCCACCTCACCCTCCCACCTCAGCTTCCTCAGCTGCTGTGGCTGAGCCTGGGCCATTGCCACCTCTTGCTCCTTTAGAACCAAAGGCCTCTACCAGTCAAGTCCCCTCTCAGGTAGTCCTGGGTCTGAAAGGTGTTGCCCCGAGTCCTCCAGATGTAATCAGTGCTTCTCCTGCCCACCTTGAAGCCCCCCTGGCCTCTGTTCCACCTGTTCCTCAAACACTGTCCATCACTCCAACCATCACTTCTCCAATCAAAGGCATCCCCATTTCCTCAGCTCTGACTCCACAAAGTATGTTAAGCCTTAACCTAAAGAGACCTGTTAGTTCACCTGCTCAAAACACTGTAACTCCCAGCACCCTCCCGGCCCCCCCTACTTCTCTGGGTTTGCATCTTCCACCTTTACATCCCAGTTCTCTGGATCCTCCTATCCAGCCTTTACGTCAGTCAGGTCCTACAGCGAGTAACACCGTTTCTGTAGGTCATTCTGCTGTTGAGGCATCCTGTCCATCTGAGAGATCTGCAGTTCCTCCCCTCCCTTCCTTCCAGGCAGGACTCCTTCCTTCCAGACAGGAGCTGGTTGCTGACTCTCTGGCAGCTCTTTCAGTGGGGGCTCCGTCTGTTGATGACGGCACCTCTGCTGTTACTGGTGTGCTCTGTGGCCCTCCTGGCTCCTCAGATGCAGCTGCTTCATTGTCTCCTAGAGCCTCTCTCATTCCCAAAGATCCTTCTAATGCCACTCAGCAGCCTTTGCTGACGACACAGATTCCTGCTTCTCAAAAAACTGCCTTCAAAGAAACTCCTGTCTGGTGTGTTGGAGCCGTCCAGCCTGCTCCGGATCACCCTTCTGCCACTTCTGCTGCACCTGCCCCTTCAGCGTCTCCTCCAGTCCCGTCAGGTCCTGCGGGTAGCAGAGACCCAGCTTCCCCTGCTGTTCTAGGAGTACCAGTTCCTCCTCTGCCAGCCACTGAAGGCCTTAGAAATCTCCCCACTTCAGTACTGGTAAATGTAGGCGCCCCCAGCTCTGCGGCCCAGGCAGGACTCCCTACCAGAAGAGACCCCACTCTGCTACCATTGGCCCTGACAGCACATAAAGAGTCTCCTCCTCCCAGTGCGTCCTCTTTGGGGGTACCTTCAGAAGACACTGTAACAAAGAAGGTTGCGGAAGGCCCTGCCCCTGTAGTGAGGGCAGCCCAGAGTGCTGACTCCCCAACTGCTGTTGTCAAAACAGACCCTGTCAGTCTGTCGGTCAAGTGTTCTCTCGCTGCTCCAGCAATGGCTCCATCTCTTCTAGAGTCTTCTGATCCCGAAGAGCTGGCTCTTAAGACTGCCAAAGGTACATCTGCTTCTAAAACATCCACTCCTACCACTTCACCTCTGGCTCCTTTAGCCTCTGAAGGTTGTCCTATGGCTCCATCTATGGCTTGTCCCCCCGCAAATGTTTCTGCTTCTGTGACCACTTTGGCATTGGCCCCTGAAATTCGCAAGTCTGTACACTTTCCCGCTCCTCCCCCAGCTGGGATTTCTTTTTCCGGTGCAAAGAAAGTTGATGTTGTTTCCTCTATGGCATCTTTGGCCTCCTCTCCTGAAGGGCACCCAGGAGACTCTGGTGCTTCTGTGTCTTTGAAAGGCACTCTGGTTTATCCAACTGATTCCCCATCTTTAGAGACTGGTGTGTCTCCTCAGACTAAAAGGCCATCATCTAAGAAGGGTTCTGCTATCCCAGATGTTTCTCCTGCAAACCTGTCATCTCCTCTTTCTCCACCTGAGCTTGCCTTCCTTCCTGGGGCTAGTCTTTCTTTTCAAAGCCCTAAAGACTCACTTAAGCTTTCTCCTGTTTCTCCGTCCTCCAAAGGGGCCCCTGTTCCTTCAACTGTGACTCCTCCCTTCCCTGAAGGGGCCCTAGTGGAGACTTCTACATCCCCCCAAAAGGTCCCAGCAGAAATTACTCCTTCCCCCCTAAAGACCACAGAAGCTACAGCTTCCAAACTGGTCTCTGTAATCCAGCCTCCCAAAGTGGCCCCTATTGTACCAGATGTGATTCCCACCTCTTCTAAAAAGACTCCAGTCCCCAAAGATAGTTCAGCAACCCTGTTGCTCCAAAGTGTCCCAGCTGTGACATCTTTGTCTCCCCCAAAGGCCCCTGCAGCCCCATCTCCTACTAGAGCCCCCATTGCTCCAACTGAGATTTCCCCTTCCCTCAAAAATGCCCCAACAACTGCAACCCCCAAAGAAGCTTTAGCAACCTTATCTCCCAAAGTTGCCACTGCTGTCCCAGGTTTGACTTCTCCCTCCCAAAAGACTCCAAAATCAATGTCCCCTAAGGATGCCTCAGCTATGCCTTCCAAAAAGGCACCAGAAGGTGTAGCTTCCAAAGTGTCAGCACCCCAGCTCCCCAGAGAGGCCCCACCTGCACCAGCTGTGGCTCCTCCCTCCCCACCAAAGTCTCCAGCAACTGAAGCATTCGGTGAGGCTCTAACAAGCCCACCCTCCAAAGGTACCCCTCCTGTCTTAGCTGAGGGTCCTACCTCCCCTAAAAGGGCTCCCAAAACTGCAGCCCCCAAAGAAACCCCACCCGAAGGGGTCACAGCTACGCCACTAGAGAGTTCACCGTCCCCAAAAAAGACCCAAAAAACTGTAGCCTCCAGTGAGAATTCAACCTCGTCCAAAGGGTCCCCTAAGATTGCAGCCCCCAAAGAAACTCCAACCCCTTCAGGCGGGGTCACCACTGTGGCACTGGAGATTTCTCCCTCCAAAACTGGAGCCCCAAAAGAAGTTCCTGTGACCCCATCTCTCAAAGGTGAACCTGCTACTCTAGCTCAGAGTCCTACCTCCCCTAAAAAGGCTCCCCAAACTACAGCACCCAAAGAAACTCCACCCGAAGGGGTCACAGCTGTGCCACTAGAGATTTCTCCATCCCCCAAAAAGTCCTCAAAAACTGTAGCCCCCAAGGAAAATTCAGCAACTCCATCCCAAAAAAAGTCCACAAAAACTGCAGCCCCCAAAGAAATTTCAACTGCACCTTCTGAAGGGGTCAGTGCTGCTCCATCGGAGACTGCTCCTTCCCCCAAGAAAGCCCACAAAACTGCAACCCAGAAAGAGGGGCCTGGGACCCCATCTTCCATAGGTGCCCCTAATACCCTAGCTCAGAGTCCTGCCTCCCCTAAAAAGGCCCCTAAAACTGCAGCCCCCAAAGAAACCCCAGCAACCCCATCTGAAGGCATCACAGCCGTGCCGGTGGAGATTCCTCCCTCCCCTAAGAAGGCCCCCAAAACTGCAGCCCCCAAAGAAACCTCAGCAACCCCATCTGAAAGCATCACAGCCGTGCCGGTGGAGATTCCTCCCTCCCCTAAGAAGGCCCCCAAGACTGCAGCCCCCAAAGAAAGTTCAGCAACATCCCCAAAAAAGACCCCTAAAACTGCAGCCCCCAAAGAAACCCCAGCAACCCCATCTCCTGAAGGCATCACAGCCATGCCGGTGGAGATTCCTCCCTCCTCTAAGAAGGCCCCCAAGACTGCAGCCCCTAAAGAAACCCCAGCAACCCCATCTCCTGAAGGCATCACAGCCATGCCAGTGGAGATTCCTCCCTCCCCTAAGAAGGCCCCCAAGACTGCAGCCCCTAAAGAAAATTCAGCAGCATCTTCCCCTAAAAAGGCTCCTAAAACTGCAGCCCCCAAAGAAACCCCAGCAACCTCATCTCCTGAAGGCATCACAGCCGTGCCGGTGGAGATTCCTCCCTCCTCTAAGAAGGCCCCCAAGACTGCAGCCCCCAAAGAAAATTCAGCAGCGTCATCTCCCAAAAGGCCGCCCAAAACTGCAGCTCCCAAAGAAACCCCAGCAACCCCATCTCTCGAAGGGGTCACAGCTGTTCCACTAGAGATTTCTCCATCCTCCAAAAAGTCCTCAAAAACTGCAGCCCCCAAAGGAGCTTCAACTCCATCTTCTGAAGGGGTCACAAATGCGACACAGGAGAGCTCTCCTTCCCCTGGTACCCTAGCTGAGAGTCCTGCCTCCCCTAAAAAGGCTCCCAAAACTGTAGTCCCCAAAGAAACCTCAGCAACACCATCCCCCCAAAGGGCTCCCAAAACGGCAGCCCCCAAAGAAACTCCGGCCATGCCACTAGAGACTCCTCCCTCCCCCAAAAAGACCTCAAAAACTGTGACCCCCAAAGAAACCTCAGCGACGTCATCCCCCCAAAAGGCCTCTAAAGCAGCAGCCCCATCTTCTAAAGGGGTCACAGTTGCCCCACTGGAGACTCCTCCTTCCCCCAGAAAGACCCCTAAGCTGTCAGGACCCAAAGAAACGCCCACAGTCCCATCTCCCGAAGGGGTCACAGCTGGACCACTAGAGATCCCTTCATCTCCCAGAAAGGCCCCCAAAATGGCAGGCCCTAAAGAAATTCCAGCAAAACCATCTCCCGAAGGAGTCACAGCTGTACCCCTGGAGATTTCTTCCTCCAAAAAGACCTCAAAAACTGCTGTCCCTAAAGAAAATGCAGCAGTATCATGCCCAAAAAAGTCCCCCAAATCTGCAGCACCCAAAGAAACTTCAACCCCATCTCTTGAAGGGGTCACTAGTACTCCATTGGAGACTGCTCCCTTTCCCCAAAAGGCCCCTAAGATGGCAGGACCCAAAGAAGCACCAGCAGTATCTGGGGTCACCATTGCACCACAGGAAAACCCTCCCACCCCACAGAAGGCCTCAGCTTCTGCAGCCTCCAGAGCCATCCCTGCTGACAGGCAGGGGGTTTCTGGCTTCCCCAGGGAGACTCCAGTAACCACGCCTGCTCCCCCAGTCAAGAACCCTTCCCCCCATAAAAAGGCCCCAATGCCTGTAGCTCTTAAAGAAGCTCCAGCAGCGCCGTCTCCCGGTGCTGCCCCGGCTGTGATTCCTCCCTCCCCATCAAAGAGTCCCAAAACACCATCATCCAAAAAGGCACTCAAGAATTCAGCCCCCAAAGAGGGTCCGGCACGTCCCTCCCTTGACGTTGCCACCACCTCCCTGCCAGAGATGGCTCCCTCTCCGCCAAAGGCCCCGGCAGCCCTGTCTCCTGGAGGTGCTTCCACTGCCCCAGCTGTGGCTCCCCTTTCCCCCAGCCCCCCCAGTAAGACCCCAGCTCCCACATCTCCTGAAAGGGCCCCCATTGTCCCAGCTCCTAAAAAGGCCGCAGCAACGGAGACTTCCAAAGAGATTTCAACAGCTCTATCTCCCCAAGGGGCCCCTGCTATCTCTTCTGTGGCTCCTGTCTTCCCCAGAGAGGTACCGACATCCTCATCTTCCCAGAGGGCTCCAGCCCCCAAGGAGACCTCAGCAACTTCAACCTCCAAAGGAGTTCTTGCCCCCACCGTTAACGCTCCTTCAGCTCCAAAAGAGGCCCCATCCTCCAAAGGGCCCTCTACTCTCCCAGCTACGAGTCTCCCCTCTAAAGAGGTCTCCATTCTCTCCTCCATCACTTCTTCCTCCCCCAAAGACCCCCCTACTCCCCCAGCCTCTGTCACAGGTAGCACAGGGACTGTTGGCCCTCAGGCATCTGAAACGCTCCCGGCAAAGAAAGACCCTCCAGAAAGTGCTCTGGTCAGCACTGCTCCCCTTCAGAAAGGCCCAAGAGCCAAGAAGAACTCTGCTTCCCCTAAGTGCTCAGATCCCTCCGCGAAGAAAGATACAAAGGGCCTCCTTTCTGCAGTAGTTCCAGCCCCTCTGACAGTCCCTGTGGAGAAAGACTCTCCAAAAACTTCAAAAGCTCTGCCTGTTTTCCCTGCAAAAGACAATGATGGTCTCCATTCCCCAAAGAGTCCTGTGGATGCTTCTCCTGAGTCTCAGATCACTCCCCCTCTGGCAGCAGTTACTTCTGACAAAGCCCTCCCTGAAGCTGGGTCAGCAGCATCTGGGGCTCCAAAGCCTACCCCACCAGCCTCCCTGACTCTTGCTCCCTCCCCAGTTCCCCCTCTGCTTCCTAAACAGCCATTTCTTCAGTCCTCACCTGGGTCGGTGCTGGAATCATCCTCTAAGCTCCCAGCCCCTGCTGATGAGGATGAGCTGCCGCCTCTGATTCCCCCGGAAGCAGTCTCTGGGGGAGTGCCTTTCCAGCCGGTCCTCGTCAACATGCCCACCCCCAAACCTGCTGGGATCCCTGCCCCAGCCCCCTCTGCCAAGCAGCCTGTTCTGAAGAACAACAAGGGTATTTGCCTTGGTTTGCCGTGTGCATGGTGTGTTGGCCACACCCTCTGGGGCTGCCCACCAGTACTAACTAGGATGCGTCGCTTGTCCAGTACGTCTGCTTGGCTGTGGGCTAGTCCATAGAATGACAACTAAGTGTAGACGCTCTAGGAATGTGGAACTAAATCTTGGTTTCTATCATCTCAGATAATACTGTGAGCCAGGCTAAGCCCTGGGTCTAACCACCCTTTATGGCCTGCCTGAGCTGATAGTGGAAACCAAGACCACCAGGCCTTTAGTGTACTCTGATTCCTACCACACCACTAACCCTGTCCCTGGGCCTGGAGTTTGCTTTTTTAAAAATAAACAGAAGGGAAAGCTTGAAGCTGTTTTGTTTTGTTTTAGACTTAGTAACTACCAGTTGCCCAGGGACTTCCTTTTCTTAAAAACGTAGAGACGTGTTTTTTCCTGACCTATGAATGGTGTGGGTGTATGCTTTCTTCCCCTTCCAGTAGAATTTACTGATGCTTGGCCTTTCAATTGAAGGAAAATTAAGATGTGTGAATTGTATTTGGAAGTGGGGGAATCACGGGTCTGTATCTAGTAGAGGTGAGAACTGTTAGAGCTTAACAACATGGAGGCATTCCAGTGATGGGTGAAATTCTTTCAGTGACTGGTTTGAAAGGCAGACTGTGTGTACACAGCTGCTTCTGACCTTCCAACCTCATTTTAAAGGGTTTCCACTTAATTGTATTAAAAGATGCCTTTTGTCTAAACATTTCTGGGTGACTGGGCTGGGGGTAAAATTTGGAATCACGTGATGCTTGGTGTTTGTGCCAAGAAATGGAGACCTTGGGGAGAGAAGACAGTCACTGCCTGTTAGCCGCCTGCAGTGTGGTGACTGTCCCCCGTCTCTGAGAATGTTCCTTCAATGGAGTCCTACAAGTTGGAGGCCTCGGGCTGGGTCGCAGAAGGCATTTAGCTTCATAAGGCCTTGCATAAAGCAGCGGGAGCTAGTTCAGGCAGGCCATGATGAGGTGCCACCTTTTAAAATTCTATTGTAACTAAAAGTTTTCTGTCATCTTAGGGTCAGGAACAGAATCCGACAGTGATGAATCAGTACCAGAGCTCGAGGAACAAGACTCCACACAGACAACCACACAACAAGCCCAGGTACTTGTTCTCTTAATAATTTACATTGAGTCAGGAAAGTACTAGAAGACAAGTGTCGTAGCCAGGACCTATAATCTGAGACCGAGGTGTTGAGTAAAGCCATGTCTCAAAAAAAGGGAGGGTCTGGAGAACCAAGATTGATTATAACAGACATGACTGTTTGAACTGTGAATTTTTGTAAAGCAAAACCACATGGAAACAAGCATCCTAAACTTGGGATCTGTTCAACTCAAAACTCTTGTCTTCTCAGCTGGCTGCAGCAGCTGAAATCGATGAAGAACCTGTCAGTAAAGCAAAACAGAGTCGGAGTGAGAAGAAGGCCAGGAAGGTAATGCAGTGGAGTATTATTTTAGCTGTGTGCATTTCTTTGGCTCCGTGAAGCTCTGCTACTGTGCCTAAAACACCGATGGTCTAATAAAGAACTGGCCCATAGCAAGGCAGGAGAAAGGATAGGCTGGGCTGACAGGCAGAGAGAATGTATAGACAGGGAAAAATCTGGGATTGGAGAGCTAGCTAGCAGCCAGAGGAGGAGGACTTCAGGGGCAGCCCTACAGCAAGCCACGGAGTAAGAGTAAGATTTACAGAAGCAAGAGAACAGGAAAAACCCAGAGGCAAAAGGTAAATGGGATAATTTAAGTTAAGGAAAGCTGGCCAGAAACTAAGCCAAGCTGGGCATTCATAATTAAACATGAGCCTCCATGTGTGATTTATTTGGGAGGTGGGTGGTGGGCTCCACAAAAGAGTAAAAAAACCCCAACAACAAGGTAAGGTGGAGTTATCAATAAGGATTGAAGTTCTGGGGTGCAGGACACCAAGGCAGAAGGATTAGGCATTAAGGGCTAGCTGTGGAGGAAGTTCAGAGCTAGTTTAGGGTACATGGGACTGTCTCCACAAATAAGGCACCATGGTACAACTGGTAATTGCTGCAGCTGAAAACACTCAACTAGTCTTCCCTTAATAAATGTAACCCAGGAAAAGTGCTGTGGGTGTTGAATGTGATATTATGTTTGTTTGTTTCTTTTTTTAAGCTGCTTCTAAAGTTAGAAACTTAATGTTCTTTTCTCTTCTTTAGGCTATGTCCAAACTAGGTCTTCGACAGGTTACAGGGGTTACTAGAGTCACTATCCGGAAATCTAAAAATATCCTCTTTGTCATCACAAAACCAGATGTCTACAAGAGCCCAGCTTCAGACACCTACATAGTTTTTGGAGAAGCCAAGGTTGGTGAAGGGTGAGGGTTTGGGGTGATTTGCTCCAGACCAGTATCACTGTTATTTGGGGTCAGATGTTTGGCCCCTTCTCATGCAGTTGTGATACCAAAAATCTCTAGACACAGCTCGCTTACTTCTTCCTACAGTGAGTCCAAAGTGAGGGCAAATACTCTGTTAACAAACAGTGCATGGCCTGAGGTGCGGTTTCTACCTAGACAAACAGATGTGCTCATGTGCCTCTGTTCTCTGCCCTGTAGATTGAAGATTTGTCTCAGCAAGCACAGTTAGCAGCTGCTGAGAAGTTCAAGGTTCAAGGTGAAGCTGTTTCAAACATTCAGGAAAATACTCAGACTCCGACTGTACAAGAGGAGAGTGAGGAGGAAGAGGTATGCCACAGTCTTGTGAACTTTTATTTAGTCTGTCTGTGTTGGCAGATTGTGCTTCAAAACACTGCTGAAGTTGTTCTTTATTAAGACTCTCTTCCCCCCTTAGGTTGATGAGACAGGTGTGGAGGTTAAGGACATAGAACTGGTCATGTCACAAGCAAATGTGTCACGAGCAAAGGCGGTCCGAGCCCTGAAAAACAACAGTAATGATATTGTAAATGCTATTATGGTAAGTGGCCCGTCTTTGTTCCTTCCCTCCCCGTCACTTAGGAGGCTTCATTCCAGAGCCTGAGATGCCTTAGAATATAATGACCTGTTTGCCTGTAAACGCCTCTAATATCTTTTTCCCCCCTTTTACAGGAATTAACAATGTAACTATTTGACAGCAAGGACACTTCCATTCTCCGCCTCCCCCCTCCCTTTTTTGGTGTTTCGAAAGTGGAACTACAGCTTGGTTTGAAATTTGTACTGTTTCTATCACTAATAAAGCTATGGCTTCTTGTTGGATGAACTCACTAGGTGCTTGGTCTCTTCCCTGAAAGTAAATTGAAGGTGCTCAATTTTAATACTACCACCACCTTCAGGCGTGTGTGTGTGTGTGTGTGTGTGTGTGTGTGTGTGTGTGTGTGTGTGTGTACGTACACTATGTAGACGATTATTTTTAAAAAAAAATTTTGTTGATCTGGACAGGCATAGTGGTGCATGCCTTTAATCCCAGCGTTTAGGAGGGAGGAGGACCTGTGAGTTTGAAGACAGTCTACTCTACATAGTGAACTTTAGAGCTATATCATGGAGAGACCCTATCTTCCCCCTCTAGGTGACAAGTAACCAGCACACCTGTTTTGTTGATTTTGAGACAGGGCTCAAACTGGAGCCCGAGCTGGCCCAGAAGGGCTCAAATCCATGTCTGTTTTTTGCGCCCACTCCCTGTATGTTGGGATCACAGGTGTGAGCCACCACACCTTTTTGGATTTTGTTGTGTTTGGGGCAGGAGACATGGCTTAGCAGGTGTGAGTCCTGACTTCTCTCCCGAGGATCCAGGTTCACTACTGTCTGAGGTGAGCTCAGGAGATCCAGTGCCCTCTTCTAAACTCTGGCACCAGGCCCCCCGGGGATTGATGCACCAGACAAGTCTCGTCAAGAGTTGCCGCACTTATTTGTGTGCGGTGTGTGTGTGTGTGCATGACGTGGAGCCCCCCCCCCCATGACACTAAGAAGACGGCTTGCCAGAGTCGGTTCTCTTCACCACATGGGCTTGGGAATAAACTCAGGTGTCAGGCTTGGTAGCAAGCTTGTTCATCACCTTAGCCATTTTGCCAACCACCTAATTGTTTTGTTTTGAGACGGTCTCTACATATCCCTGACTGTTCTGGAAGTCACTAGGTAGACCAGGGTTTTCTTGAATTCACAAAGATCTGTTTCCCAAGTGCTGGATTTAGGTGTGCATAACCTCTCACCATCTTTGAGACCTACTATGTGCCTGTCATTGGCTACACCAGTCCTTACAATCAAGAAACTTGTTCGTCCATGTCTTGGATTCTACTGCTGTGTGGAGACGCCATAACCGTGGTTGGTTGGTTGGTTGGTTGGTTGGTTGGTTGGTTGGTTGGTTGGTTGGTTGGTTGGTTTTGGTTTTTCTAGACAGTCTGTGTAACAGTCCTGGCTGTCCTGGAACTCGCTTTGTAGCCCTTGAACTCAGAAAGATGTGCCTGACTCAGCCTCCTGATTACTGGGATTAAAGGTATGTGCCGCCACTGCCTGGTGACCACAGCTACTCTTACAAAGAAACTATGTAATTGGGGCTGACTGGCTTCCAGTTCAGATACTCAGTAGTCATGGCGGGAAGGATGGGCATGCAGGCAGACATGGAGTTCTACATCGGGATTGGCAGGCATCAGGAAGGAAATGCCACACTGGGCCTGGCTTGATCATCTGAGACCTTAAAAGCCCACCCCCAGTGACATCCATGACAAGAACTGTCTTCTACCAGAAAGAGGATCATGAGTTCAAGGCCAGTCTAGATTGCATAGTTCCAAACCAACTCCAACAAAGTTGGAACCTGTCTCAAAAAACCTATCAACAGTTAGGCTAGTGGGCTTCCTGTGGCTGTAACAGGGTGGTGGGGGAACCGGCTTGGGCCTAGCATGGTGTCGTACCCAGTAACAGCACTGGAGATTGGGAGCAGGAGGGTCAGGTGTTCAAGATTATCCTTGGCTACATACTGAGTTTGAGACCAGCCTATGGTGTAGGCGACTGTCAGAAAAGGGTGACATGAATTGAAGAAGTGCTGATTTTGTTAAGGTTCAAACACTGTTGCAAGGCTGAGCGTGAAGGCAGGAGCAAGTGGAACAAAACTCACTTAATGGAGGCTAAAAAGCAAAAGAGGGATCCTGATGTGTTTCTGAAGTTGACATATCAGAAGGGACTAAGCTTTCAACATGGGAGCTCTTAGGGTTGATCAGGATTAATCAGGATTTATTTCAAGCACTGGGCTTAGTGGAGGATCTCTGAGTTCGAGGCCAGCCTGGTCTACAAAGCGAGTTCCAGGACAGCCAGGACTGTTACACAGAGACCTTGTCTCAAGAAGAAAAAACAAAACCAAGTCTAACGAGGTGGAAGTGTCACACACCTTTAATCCCAGCACTCGGGAGGCAGAGGCAGGCGGATCTCGTGAGTTTGGGCCAGCAAAGGCTACACAGAGAAACTCTGTCTCAAAAATAAAGTCTCAGCTCAGTCTCATTTAAAAGGGTTTGGGGAAAACCGGCTTTTTGTTGTTTGTAGAACTAAATTTAAACACCTTAAATACCACTGAATTTGCTTTACACATATCCAATGCTCTTCCTTTTGGTTTTATGAGGCTGGCTTCAAACTCAGTATGACCTTCTTTGCCTCTATCAGCTTTCTTCCTTTGCATTCTGTGGCTTCTTTAATCCCGTAACATTCTAAAGTGTTGTGTTCTGAGAGTTAATATCAAAATTAAAATTGGTGGCACTCTGGGAGGCAGAGGCAGGTGGAGTTCCAGATCAGCCTGGTCTACAGCGTGAATTCCAGGACAGCCAGAGCTTCACAGAGAAACCCTGCCTGGAGGGGCAGGGGATGAGGTGGTGTGTGTGTGTGTGTCTGCCTGTCTGTCTTGTTTGCCATCAAGCAAGGAATCAGAACTACTTGGCACATTGTAGCCAAATAAAATCCACATAGCTTGTAAGCTTGTTACTTTGCAAACACTGGCATTGTCTGAAGACAAAACCATGCCCATATGTGTTTCTGGCATAACAGACTGACAACATCAACTTTTTGGTTATGTGAATGAACAATTTTTAAGAGTATGTTGGGAGGGGGTGGTGGTTAGGTTTTTAAGTGTGCCTGTGTGTTAATCACATGCATGTCTGGTGCCTAAAGAGGCCAGAAAAAGTCGTTGGCTTTGCTGGAACTAGCGTTGCAGCCTGTGGGTGCCAGGAAACAAACACGGGTTCTCTGCAGGAGCCGCAGTGATCTCACCAGGACCCGTCTCTCCAGCCCCTCATGAGTTCTGATGCAGCAGGCTTTCGCTGCAGCCTGTAATGACCTGGATCTGAACCACACCGCAGACTCAAGATTCTCCCTCTTAAACCTTTGGAGTACAACCTTACAGGCTTGAGCAGCCATACCTAACAGGTTTTGTCTTTGGGGAGTTTCACTTTGTAAAGCCAGGCTGGCCTGCAGCTCCCAGCAATCCTGCTTCGGCTTGACATGAGCTAGCACATCTGTCTGTGAATGTGTTCCTGTGAGTGCATCCACTGTGTGTATTTGCATGTGCATGGAAGCCAGAGATCAGTGTTAAGGGTCTTCCTCAGTTGTTCTCCACTTTTATAGCCTTGGCTGGCCTGGAAGTAGCTGGGTAGACCAGGCTGACCTCAAACTGCCTCCCAAATACTCCCAAATTCTATGCCCAGGGTCTCCCTCTGAACCTGAATGAATTTGGCTAGAATAGCTTATCATCATCCTAGGGATCCATCTGTTACTAGGACTGGGGTTACAGATGGACACTGCTTCATCTGCGGTTTGTTTTTAATATGAGTGCTACTAGAGAGCTGAACCTAAGTCTTTTTAATTTTTTTTTTTGAGACAGGGTTTCTCCGTGTAGTTTTGGTGCCTTTTCTAGAACTCACTTGGTAGCACAGGCTGGCCTCGAACTCACAGAGATCCGCCTGGCTCTGCCTCCCGAGTGCTGGGGTTAAAGGCGTGCGCCGCCACCCAGCTGAGTCTTTCCTAATGTGGCGAGCGCTTTCCCGCCTGAGCCCCCTCTCAGCTGCCTGTAAGTACACATGTGCTCTGAAAGGTGGTGGTTGAGGTACGGGCGGTTTGAGCACAGTAATGAAGTCAGTCGCCAATGTTTAGGTGTTGAATTAAGGGGAGAATTGAAAGCATTTCCCCTGGTGTCATCACCAAGAGCAAAGCCAGATTTGAATTCTCTACCTCACTCTCCCATCTACTCTGGCTGTGAGAGTCTGAGTCTCTGCCTGGAGATCTAAAGTCTGTCTGTCTGTATCCCTGACAAAGAGCTTTGCTCTTTTGTTTTTAAATAGAACAAAGCACCACACGGGGCAGGAATGAAGGCTACTTTTACAAACATCTTTAGCAGCATTTAACAAGGGATTGAGTAACTAACTCCAACTGACCAAGATAACTAATCCTGTGAAGCAGTATCTGAATAATGGTCTCAGCATGTGTGGTGGATATTCATTTTATAAAGCAGCTTCCAATCTATTCGCTGTTTTCAGCAAATGACTATCACAGCATGCGTGTACATATGAATTACTCATAGAACAGGGACAGAGAAGAGTATAAATTTAAGATTAAAGCTGTGTATTAGCTTAGGTTGTAAAAGTTGATTACATAGAAAGTCCAAGGCAAGTAAGGCTGGTTGTTACACTGTTCTCTTAAAGGCGGTTAAACAGGCCAAGTACAGTACAGAAACAGTCTTAGTTAAGTGACCTCGAGTTATTAAGTATGGCTGTAAGGTCCAGCAAAAATTCCAGTCTCGGGATATTTTTATAGTTATGCATTGCCACAGAGATAGCGTATACTACCTTGCAAGAATAATTTTTTCAATATTGTTTCTTTGATGTTTAAACCTTTTAAAGCCTCTTCCTCTAGAAATATTCTTGCTAATGGTGGGCCCCTATTTATAGACCTTAGAATTACCAAATCAACTTCAGAACATGAGAAAGCTCAAACAAGGCACAGTAGTTTACCTCGCCATTATCGTCATACTGATGTTTCTAAATTGTAAGAAAATAAAGACGAAGGGCAGGAGACAACACAGTAACCCTGTGTTTGAGTCTTGACCTTGCCCCAGTCAGAAATTGAGTTGTCAGTACATTTGCAAGACAAACCTGTTACAACTTGGGTCACAAGGCTAGTGGTTGAGACTACAGCTAAAGGCATGAAGTCCAATGTGAAATCCATGAGATGGGGTTGGGAAAGACAGGAGCAAGCAAAGGAACGGGGTAGAGGAGGAGTGGGTTATGGGTTG